TGAATGGGTATGCGGGGGGGACTTGGTGATGGAGGGAGCCTAGTGAACATAATGTCCTTCATGTAATTGTAGATTAATGATACCAAAATAAAATTTAAAAAAAAAAGTACAAAGGCTGACATCGTGGGGCTCCCCGGTGTGCTTATTGCATCTCACTTTAGTTCAACCATCACCAGGGACCTAATCTTTGCTCACACCTGTGAAGGGATGCCTACTATCTCTGCCCTCAACTTACCCACCTTTTTCCATATCGGTCTTGATCTGCTCTTCAAGATCCTCAGGGTACACGTAGAAATCCTCCTCTGGCACTGACAACCGGGGCCGGCAGCGTCCACAACAGCAGTTACAACAGCAGCATAGACAGCAGCAAAAATAGCAGCCGGTCAGGAGGCCGATGACGGCGATCAGGGTCTGGGGAGCAAAGTCCAGCGAGACACGTGAAGGGCTGTGGCTGCGGGAGACCAGAAGTTCACTGAGCGCTCGTGCGCTTCCGGAGGCCCAGACGCATCACGGCTCACACTCATCCTTGTTCCGTGTAAGGACTGTATTTTTAGTTTCCTTGGAAACTAATTCTTCATAAAGTTTTGCCTAACTAGTTAAGGCCAGAGGAAATGGCTTGTAGCCAAAGTAATAAAGTCTGACATTTTCTTCTTCGTTCTTAAGCTCTGGTGATCATTATTAAGAGTAGAGCAAAGAAAACAACAAACATAACCTCTATGTTAAATGAGCTACTCAAGGGGACTGAATCCTTGTCATAAAAGAAGAGCTATTAATAGCTCCACCTCCCTCCCCCTCCCCCCATTTCTCTTACTCACCAAGTCTGCAGAGTCTCTCTCCTCAAGAACTCTTGCACCCTCCTGCTCCTCTCTGTCCTGACTGATAGGGCTTTAGAACAGATCCTAATATCTCTGCTCTGAACACTTCAGTAGCCTCCTAACTGGCCTCCCTGCCTCCGCTCTTGCCTGCTAATCCACTCTGCACATTGCTGCTGGAGTTTTCTGAGATAAATGTTCTCTTGAGCCATGCAGCAATTCTTCTGCCTCTTAGAAAAGGCTAGAACTCCTTATTAATGGCCAACTGGCTTCTGCCAAGCCCTCCCCTGTACTAGCTGGCCTGTTCCTGCCATAGCTTTGCGCTCCCTATGGATTTATCTCCTTAGATGCCCAACCCCCATTCCCCAGGCAAGTAACAAATACCCGCTGTGTGTTTAAGATTCACCTTACAGATCCTCTCTCTGACATCTTTCCTGTTCACCACACCCTGAACAATTACTCCCTCCTTTGTGCCCCATTTGTACTACATAAGAACTTGTACCATGGTGTTTGTTTTATCTGCACTCTGGTACATTGATCAGTTCGTAGATCTGTCTCATGTTAGACCTTCCTGAAAGCTAGAGCTGTATGTTAGTCATCTTTCATTCCTTCCTACCTAAGGACTTATTAGCTGAAATGTGGTAGGCACTTGATAAATACCTACTGAACTGATGCATCTATAAAATCATAGATAAACAAGTAATTTATTCCTCCTAGTAAACAGCACCAGGATTTCCCAAGTGTATAAAAGGTTTGCTCACTAAGTTCACCATGGTTAAAGATTAAAAGATACTCTCCCAGTGCCCCTATTGAAAGTTAAAATAAGTAAGCCATTTTTTAACTGAGAAAAATATATGTATGGTTTTGTTTAAAATGCATTATTTGAAATAGAAAGGAAGTGGTTTATATCTCTTTGAATCAAAATGCATATTTTATCCCATAAAGGAAGCAAAGAAGATAAAGATCACTGTATGTGTGCATTTAAGGTAGAAATCTCTAATGTTGACAATGCCCCTCTGCCCCACTTCTACTTACTAGCCCAGGCTCCCTCTGTCTCTGGCCCCAGTTGACAGTTGACTTAGAGTGAAGGAACTTCAGTCACATTCTCACACCTATAACCTTTTTGCTTTGGGTGCTCTGTATTTTCTCAGACTTAGGTAAATCACTGTGAAAACAAAACTGAAACACCTCCCTCCTCACTGCCTCTGAGACCCTTCTATTTAGTATTCCTGAGCCATTGCTCAAACAAGCTCCTCCTTTCTCTACCTACTTTTGCCCTTTTTTGTTTTTATTATGCAAGTCCCCTATTTTTCTCTTCTCTGAAAATTTTCTTTAATTCGTATACTGTTTTGTTCTTTATTACAACTAGCTTGTCTATTGCAGAAATAACCTTGCCTAATCCCTGATAGTGCTGGCACAGTACTAGGCACAGGTAAGTGTCCACTATGTTGTAAATATACATTTTCAATAGTACACTGACTCATTCATTTGTGCAATGCATACTTAGTACCTGATCACTCTGTGCCAGGCCTCTCCAATGGGCACTGGGCAATTAGGCTTTGGTACAAGTTGTTTGAGAAGACAGGATTTTTTTGTAGCTTTATTTTTAAAGAGCCACATGAGGAATTAATTTTATTTATTTTTTATACAACTGGACGATTTCTGCTTGTCTATATGAAGTTTGATCAATCCTGCCAACTTTCTGAGCAAGAAAATCTATACTCATTTTTATTCAAGTAGGCCCCAATATGCAATCAGGTGCTAGTTGTAAAAATTATCTAAAACTCCAGACATCTCTTCCCATGGAAAGAATGTCATGCCTGGAGGTTAGGTTCCCAGGTGAGCCCACATAAGTCCATACTGTTATATGAACATCCAATCTATCATCATAAATGATACTGTTAGTTCGTACACTCTTATTCCAAGTTCCAAATCTGCTTGGCAGAAACTTGTCTCTCTCTAAAGTCATCAA